AAAGATCAGTTTGGGAGCTTCAACATAAGATTAGACGTTATATAAAGAAAGAAAAGGAAAAAAAAAATTTGAGAGGAGATTATCAAAAGAAATTATCCCAGAAATGATGCAACTAAATTTCCAGGTTGAAAACTGCCATCACAATGAAAGTCCAGACCCACCACAAAGCACGTTATTGTGATACTTCAGAATACCATGGATAATATCTCAAAGGCTACACTGGGAAGGAGAAGATAAGGGAGCAAAGCTTTCAAAACTCTAAGGACAAACTGTTTTCAACCTAGAAATCTAGTAAATAGCCAAACTTATACGAGTGTAGAATAAAAATTTTTTAAACACGTATGTTAATTAATTAAGTTTCCATGCATACCTCTCAGGAAGCAAGTGGGGGATAGACATAGACACCATCAAAACTGGAAGGAAATCAGGAAAGAAGAAGTTATTTGGTTTCAGAAATAGCTAGTTAACACAGAAGCAAGTCAAAAGGGAACCACCAGGGTGATTTAAGTGGAAGTTCCAGGACAGCACCTATGCATCAGGTCTAGAGAACAACCAGTTCAGACTGGAGCATAAGAATGGAGGGTTCTAGGAGGAATAACTTCAGGTTGGGTCGGGGGAGGGACATGGAAAATAGAAAAGAGGTTTTCTGACAATACGGGCTCTGTGGAAAATTGCATTAAGTGACTTTTTTACAGAGCTGTTGAGAGCATTTCAAGACTTAGGAGAGGGTTGAAGAAAACCAAGCAATGGAGACAAAAAGGTCATCAGTACAGGAAAAAACAAAGGGTTATGCAGGGACGGAATTATAGACTTAATACAGCACTTGATTCAGCTGTGAGGGAAGCCACAATAATGAAAACAGTAATGCTTAGTGATAATCTACCATATAGTGAGAAAATGGGGAAGAAAAGTAGGAATAGAAAATAATTAAATCTTCTCTGCCATATCTGGAAGTCAGTAGTTACTGTCTAAAGTCGACAGCTTGAACAATAGCAATATTCCTATAATATTTGGAAATATGAATGAAAGTACCAGAAAGAAGGGGCAAAATATTTAAAGAAGTTACTTCTGAGTAGCAGGACCTGGGAGAAATTTGGGAATTGGCAAGGGCGCGATTTTATTTGACTTTTTTTACTTTGATAAAAATTGAAATTATTTTTAAAAATAAAATTAAAGAGGAAGACTCAGAATACTAAAAGACCAAGACATTTTTTCTGCTATTCATTTATCATCTATTATACAATGTTCAGATATTACCTTTCCTATATTACTTTTCTGCTTTTGTGATTTCAGCCCTCTGCTTATAAAATTATTTCATATATTGAGCAAAAATTTTACACCTAAATTTTGGGAGGCCATACACTGAGGTTGTCTCCTGAAAGGATTAAAAACTTTTCAACTCTTTTATAATTTTACATAGGGAAGAAATAATTATCAATCTATATATCAAAACATGTTGTTGTTAGGTGCCATTGAGTGGATTGCAACTCACAGTGATCACATGTAATAAAGTAGAAGTGCCCCATAGGGTTTTCTAGGCTGTAATCTTTATGGGAGCAGATAAATGGTTAGCAGCTAAGTGTTTAACAATTGTGCCACCAAACCAAAAAACAAACCTGTCAATTCCAACTCATAGCAACCGTACAGGACAGAGTAGAACTGCTCCATAGGGTTTCCAAGGAGCAGGTGGTAGATTTGAACTGCTGGCGTTTTGGTTAGCAGCCGAGGGCTTAACCACTGCACCACCAGGGCTCCAAACCAGGACTCCTTATATCAAAACATAACACCATTAAAAAGTTCTAATGGGCAAGACTCTGATCTTTAGAAGTAACTTGAAATAGCTGACCTAATTTTCATTTGGAAACATTATGTATTCTATTTGGTATAATAACATGAATTTTACCTTCCTGTGAAAGGCACAAACAGATCTCGATGCTATGACTAGTCTTACACTGTTTTTTATATCTATTTTCCAAAGAGAGATTTAAAAAAAAAAATCATTAAATACATGGTGAGGGTTAGAAGGGTTTCAGATCTTTAATGGAGATATTGAACAAGACTTTGCAGGAACAAATATTTCATTTAAACACTTTCTAGTACTTTTCTTTTTTATGGAGCCTAAATTTTCACATTAATAACATATTAAAGACCAACACTGGGAGTAGAATATCTCATATTCTCTCTTCTCTGTATTTACTTGCTATGTGCTGTTTTCAACAAATCAATATTTCATAGCTTCTAGTAGTTCTCAATCGTTTTCATCTTGCTTTTTCCCCTAAAGTTCCCTTAAAACTTCTCATTCCCTGTTTAGACCTATTCTTCTTCTTGTCACTGTAGAAAGGAAAGACTGGAGCCTGGAGGGTTTTGGACTATGCCTGACACTAAAGGCTAATGGAAGTAGCTTAGCAACATCCCCTTGACTTCAAGGCAAGTTTGAATCTTCCATTTAAGAAAGAATAATATAAAATAAGACCACAATTGATTCAAAAATAGTCTGCTTCATATTTAGAAAAAAAACCCTCTACAACAACAAAAATGAAATATTGGGCATGCTGGGGTAAACACCCATGCTGGGGTGGGCACCCACACTCTATTTCCAGAAAATATTCTGCAACCCATCTCATAGAGCATCTGTCCTAAAGAGCTATACAATAAGAACTAATGTTTAAAGTAATCCCTTAGAAATTAAAGATTCAAAAAAATTAAAATCAAAATTTAATTTTAATATAATTAAAGAAAGAAAACTGGACTAAAGCATTTTGTGAAGGATTTTATTTCAACCAAAAGGCTTTTTTGTGGGATTTTCCTTAGCAGGAAAACACATTTAACTTCACCTAAACAATTCCATTAACATCTGCTCATCTGTCATAGGAGCCCTGGTGGGGCAGTTTTTAAGCCCTTGCCTACTAACCAAAAGGTCGGCAGTTCAAATCCACCAGTTGCTCCTTGGAAACGATACGGAGCAGTTCTACTGTGTTTTATAGGGTCACTATGAGTTGGAATAAACTTGACAGCAATGGGTTGCTTTCTCACAGGGAGCTCCCGCTTCCATGACCTTGTCTCCTTTTTCTGACTACAAAATCTCGTATTCATCCTTCAGGTCTTACTTTAAATGTTACTTCCACAGAGAAACCTTTTTTAATCCCTAATCTAAATCCCAGGAGCCCTGGTGGTGCAGTGGTTAAGAAATCGGTTGCTAACCAAAATGTCAATAGTTTGAATCCACCAGCTGCTCCTTGGAAACGCTATGGGGCCGCTCTACTCTGTCCTACTGAGTTGCTATGAGTTGGAATCAACTGGACGGCAATGGGTTTGGTTTTTTGGGTAGCCACTCAGCAGGAGAAAGATGTGGCAGTCTGCTTCCGTAAACATTACAGCCTTGGAAACCCTGTGGGGCAGTTCTACTCTGTCCTACAGGGTCGCTATGAGTTGGAATTTAAATCTAAATTTCTTAAATGTTGTAACCACCTTGTCCATGTCCTTACGTTGTGACTTTGCCTTCATTTGCAACCATGTGATAGGAGATGACAATTGTTTCAGAAAATTAACACATTTTAAAGTGAGAAAATGCTATTCATTATTCATAAAAATTGAGGAAAACTTAATTATCAATTTTGATTGCACATTTTGGGAGAGCTAGCAACCCTAATGTGAAGTCTAAAATTTACTGTGGCCTCAAAATTTTGTAGTATTAAAAAATAGTCACTTCTTGATTGGAATTATTTAATTTTACCTTTACGTCAAGTGAATTGCTTGGTTTCTGGTTAAATATTTGTGTGTAACAAGATTTACCGTGCAGTTCTAAAACCTACCCAAAGTTTCTCATCAATTTTTTCATTATTTGCATAAATGACTAACAATATTAATAAGAAGAGAGATGAGTAGAATTTGAGATATACTAGGGGGTACTCTTTGATCAAATATTTTTACATATTATTTTATGTTCTCAAAGTATGTTACATACAGACGCTTATTTCATTTTCACACCACCAAGAAGCAGGCAGAAGGGTATCATAATCTCCTTCCCATAGACACAGAACTTTACACAAAGCTATTGCTTATTAAGTTATGGACACAGAATTAGAATCCAGGATTTTTGACTCCAACTTTAGAAATTTTTGTCCACTGCTTGCCCCATTTTTGTGCCCGAATTTTTGAATTTTCAAAACATTCATTGAATGAATTTTCAAGGCATTCATTCTTTGGGGTAACAATGCTCTCTCCACATAGTCCTATTTTAAAATGGAAATAATTTTATGAAGATTGCTTATTAAAACACACCTATGTGTGAATTGGTGACGCAGTGGTTAAGACCTCAGCTGCTAACCAAAAGGTTAACAGTTTGAATCCACCAGCTGCTCCATGGAAATTCTATGGGGCAGTCTTACTCTGTCTTACAGGGTCTCTGTGAGTCAGAATCAACTCAATGGCAACGGGTTATGTGTGAACTAACTTATCATTTCATTTTCTATAAGAAAGAAGGAACTCCCAACTAATAGAGAAGATTTATGACCAGTAATCAGTGGCTGGGGGGATAAAAAAGCTGTCATAAGAACAAAAGTAAGAAACCCATCAAAGAAATTTTGCATTCTTATATCTTTTGTTGTCCACATCCATAAAAGGAAAGTCTCTTTCTAATCAAATAAGCTTTATTCTTAAAAAAATACTTCTTTTCTGACCATGTTTAACTGGTACTGATAAAAATGAATTAGTATTTTGATTTGTCTCTACCTGACAGTTACAGCACTTAGCATTTGGATATATATATGTTTAGATATATGTGTGCGTGTATGTAAACATGTATGTTTATATACATTATTCAGTTTGATCTTTGCAACAAATATGTGGTTTACTTATTTATAGATGAGGACTCTAACTCTCAGCTGGCTTTACAGATCAGTCAAGGACAAAGAACCACTCCTCAGACTCTGAAACCTATCTTTTTACCAAACCTTACAGTGCTCTCTGTTCATAGAGCATTATGCTCACTGGATACTTACATTTCATCACACCTTGAATTTCATAAACAGGCTTGAGAATCAGAGAGCCATAAAAGCCTTTTGGGAATGGATTTGTTGTATCCCACTTATTTGAAAAATCAGTAAGTTTCACAGTTCGTGTTCTGTTCTTGGGGATCTTCCATTCAACAATCTCCTTTAGGGTATAGATATGTTCATCTTCACACTCATAGAATTCTCCTTCTTGTGAGAAAGACAAAGTAAATGAGTGATTTTGATGATTCCGGATTACTCCACAGTTCACCATCATTTCTCCATTGATCTCTTCAACTGAATTGAGCATGATTTGTTCTCCCTGCTTTATTATGAAATTCTCTAGTTTTATATCCTTCTGATGGTAGAAGCAAGGATGTCCTAGTCTACTTGGTCCAATATGAATGGTTCTTGTAATTTCTTCCATAGTAAGGTATGGAGTTTTATCAGCCACAATCTTAAAAAGACCTAAAAACAGAATTGTGTAAATTAGAGTTCTTGCGATGAAAGTTCTTTTAAGAAAATTACAATGAGAGAATTATAAAACAAATACAGTGTAGTTTTTAAAACTAATATACCTTTTTAAAAGAGTAGAGGAAATTGTTGAAATCCTGAGTTATCCTGTGTAAAAACTTAATGTATTATCTATAGATTACTGGATCATCAGATCAGACTATTTAAATTGAGTCAGGTGAAAAATACCTTGAAACAGAAGAAACCCTGTTCCTGGAATTGGAAAATACGAATGAGATACCGGCTCTGTCCCTAACTACCTGTGTGATCTTGAGCAAAGCATTTAATCTCTTAAGAACACATTTTTTTATTTTTAAAATGAGGGGATTGGATTAAGTCTGTTTCCATGAATGTGTTATCTGGGAACACCAAAGTAAATTCAAAGTGTTCCAGAAGGAAACTGATTCATGGTTAAATTAATGATTGAAAATTGGCAACCAATATTGCTGATTGTTGCACAACATAATTAATGTAGTTGGTCTCACTGAATTTTACACATGAAATATGTTAAATTGGCAAATGTTATGTTGTCTATAATATTACAACAATAAAAATAAATAAAGCTAGATAGCTGGAACAAGTTAATGATAATGGTTGCACAACATTGTGAATGTTATTAATGACATTGCATTGTACACTTTAAAATGGTTAAAATACATCTATTTTACCACAATAAAAAAATTATATGGGTCTAATTAATTCAAGAATTCTCAGAAACTTTAGATGCACTGTCAGTCTCAAGAGAGGAATATAACATGTAGAATTTCCCAAATTTCCTTGATTATAAAACTATTGGGGAAAACATTCATTAATATATTGCAACATATTACATTATATTAATGCTCCACAGGACTCTCCTTGGAAAATGCTGGGTTAGAGAGTTTTTCTGGATTGAACACTCTCTATTATATGCCAGTCTTTCTTCTTATTCCTTCTCTAGAGTCATTACTACTAGCTGTAAAAAAACTGACCATTTTTATGTCCCCCAGTAATAATACTTGTTTTATTGTTCTCAAAAGAATTGTGACGATAAACGATGCATACAAAAAATTGTTCAAAACTGTAAAGTTCGAAACAAATTTCAGTAGTTACTAGTACTATTAAAGGTTATGCTAAAACTGATCATCATTAAGAATTGGTTAAAAAAAAAAAACCTACCCCCATAACCTAAGATTTAGGGAAAAGATCTAAAGGACTAAATTTTCTTACTGACTACTTTTCAACAGCTTGATTTATTGCATTTGCTTATAATTTTTGTTTCTTAAGTTAATGGTCTTTAGGAACCATTTCTCCTAATTTAAAAACCGTGATAAAATCCATTTTAACAGCTGACCAGCAAAGGTGATAATAGAAATCTATTTTCTTTCTGTTTTTTAATTTACTTCATGAAGATTACATATTGGTTTATTTTGCAAACATTCTCATGATCCCTCAGCCCCTAAAATGTGTTTTGTTTTTTCTCTGAAAGAATAACAAGCATATTTTCCCCAATAGAAAACTTTTATCCTCTTTATGAAATACATAGGAAAAAATGGTCAAATTTAGAGCTGATCAGCCCTGATGGGGCTTTAGTTTATATTTAACTTCCTTCATTGCCATAGTTTTGCTATTTGAAATTTTTTGTCTCTATCAAGATAATCACTAATACAATAAATTATTACTGCTTAAGATATAGCTTTTTAGGCTAGCATGTATAAGTGCTTCTACTGTTTGAATTACATTGTTTTTATTTTATGGGCACATGAGCTTTGTGTCACTTTCAGAAATTTATTCATTGATTTTTCATTTTAATAAATACCAGAAAAAATAAGAAAAAATTAAAAATAGTTAATTGATTTCTTAACTCAAAAATAAATTAATGATAATGTATACTAGCATGGTCTAAGAAGACAATGTATTAAAAATTTTCTAGAATGATATAACTTAGAAAAATCGTCATTAGTTTACTCAACAAATATATTGTAATTGTTGTTGTTATTAGTTGCCATCAAGTCTATTCTGACTCATGGAGATACCACATATGTAGAGTAAAACTGCTCCACAGGGTTTTCAAGACCTTTCAGAAGCAAATTGCTAGGCCTATCTTCCAAGGCACCTCTGGGTGGGTTTGAACTGCCAACATTTTGGCTAGTAGTCAAGTGCTTAACTATTTGCTCCACCCAGGGACTCCATGTTGTAATTAAATTCATCTATATATATATAATCATTATTGAACAGGTTATAGTGTCTTTTGTGTATATTTTAGGTTTCTATAAAAGACTTCCACCACTGGTCTGTCAGTTTGTTGTACTGTGGTAGCTTATATGTTGCTATCATGCTTGAAGCTATGCCACCAGTATTTCAAATACCAGCAGGGTAACCCATGGTGAAAAAGTTTCAAGGAAGCTTTCAGACTAATACTAGGAGAAAGGACCTGGCAATCTGCTTCTAAAAACAATTGTGAAAACCTTAAGAATAGCAGTGGAACTTTGTCCAATATAGTGCCAGAAGATGAGCCCCTCCAGTTGGAAGTCACTCAAAAAAAAAAAAAAAAAACAGACCAAGAGCTGCCTCCACAAAGTAGAGTTGACCTTCAAGACATGGATGAGTAAAGCCTTTGAGACCTTCAGTTGCTAATGTGGCATGACTCAAAATAAGAAGAAACAGCTGCAAACTACACTTATAATCACAACGTGGAATGTATAAAAAGTAGGAATCTAGGAAAATTGGAATTCGTCAAAATTAAATAGAATGCATAAACATAGATATCCTAGGCATTAATGAGCTATAATGTGTCCGTACTGGCCATTTTAAACTGGACAATCATATGATCTACTATACCAGGAATAGCAGATTGAAGAGGAATGGTGTCGCATTAATTGTTAAAAAGAACATTTCAAGATCTATCCTAAAGTGCCACACTGTCAGTGATAAGATAATATCTATATGTCTACAAGGAAGACCAGTTAATATGACTATTATTCAAATTTATGCACCAACCTCTAATGCCAAAGATAAAGAAATTGACAATTTTTACCTACTTCTGCAGTCTGAAATTGATGGAACATGTAATCAAGATGCATTGATAATTACTGGTGATTGAAATGTGAAAGTTGGAAACGAAGAAGGATCAGTAGCTGGAAAATAAGGCCTTGGCGATAAAAATGACACTGGAGATCACATAACAGAATTTTGCCAGAACAACAACTTATTCATTGCAAATACCTTTTTTCAACAACATAAATGGCTGGATGGAATAAACAGGAATTACATCTAATACATCTGTGGAAAGAGACTATAGAGAAGCTCAATATCATGAGTTAGAACAAGGCAAGTAGCCAACTGAGGAACAGACCATCAATTGCTTATATGCAAATTCAAGTTGAAGCAGAAGAAAATTAGAACAAGTCCACGAGAGTCAAAGTACAACCTTGAGTATATCCCACCTGAATTTAGAGACCATCTCAAGAATTGATTTGATGCATTGAACACTAATGACCAAAGACCAGACAAGTTGTGGGATGACACCAAGGACATCATACATAAGGAAAGCAAAAGGTCATTAAAAAGACAAGAAAGAAAGAAAAGGCCAAAATAGATGTCAGCAGAGACTCTGTAACTTGCTCTTGAACACAGAGTAGCTAAAGCAAATGGAAGAAGTGATGAAATAAAAATGCTGAACAGAAGATTTCAAAGGGTGGCTCGAGAAGACAAAGTAAAGTATTATAACAAAATGTGCAAAGAATCGGAGTTAGAAAACCAAAAGGGAAGGACACGCTAGGCTTTTCTCAAGATGAAAGAACTGAAGAAAAATTTCAAGCCTCAAGTTGCAATATTGAAGGATTCTGTGGGCAAGATATTCAATGACACAAAAGCATCAAGGGAAGATGGAAGGAATATACAGAGTTACTGTACCAAAAAGGATTGGTAGATGTTCAGCTATTTCAGGAGGTAGCATATGTTCAAGAACTGATGCTGTTTAAGGAAGAAGTCCAAGCTGCACAGAAGGCATTGGTGGAAAACAAGGATCCAGGAATTAATGGAATACCAATCGAAATGTTTCAACAAATAGATGCAACCTTGAAGTGCTCACTCATCTATGCCAAGAAATTTAGAAGAAAGCCACCTGGCCAACCGACTGGAAGAGATCCGTGTCTGTGCCCATTCCAAAGAAAAGTGATCCAATAGAAAGCAGAAATTATCAAATAGCATCATTAATATTACACACAAGTAAAATTTTGCTGAAAATAATTCAAAAGCAGCAGTACATCAACAAAGAACTGCCAGAAATTCAAGCTAGATTCAGAAGAGGATGTGGAATGAGGGATATCATCGCTGATGTCCGATGGATCTTGGATGAAAACAAGAATCCTAGAAAGATATTTATCTGTGTTTTATTGACTATGCAAAGGCATTCGACTGTGTGGATCATAACAAGTTATGGATAACAATGTAAAGAACAGGAATTACAGAACACTTAATTGTGCCCATGAGGAACCTATACATAGACCAACAGGTAGTCATTTAAACAGAACAAAGTGCTACTGCACAGTTTAAAATCAAGAAAGGTGTGCATTAAGGTTGTATTCTTTTACCTTACTTATTCAATCTGTATGCTGAGAAAATAATCTGAGAAGCTGGATATGTAAAGAAGAATGCAGCAGCGGGATTGGAGGAAGACCCATTAACAACCTGTGTTATGCAGATGACACAACGTTGCTTACTGAAAGTGAAGAGGACTTGAAGCACTTACTAACAAAGATCAACGACTACAGCTTTCAGTACAGATTATACCTCGATATAAAACAACGAAAATCCTCTTAACTGGTCCAGTGAGCAACATCATGCTAAGCGGAGAAAATATTGAAGTTATCAAGGATTTTGTTTTACTTGGATCCACAATCAACACCCATGGAAACACCAGTGTCAAGAAATCAAATGACATACTGCATTGGACAAATCTGCTGCAGAAGACT